GCAGGGCACGTGGGTGACATGTCACGCAGAGCCACGAGTCGCTCCCTTGCCCGATAAGCACCATGAACCTGCGACAGCAGAAGCCGCACTGATTGCCGGGCGGTTGCAGGTATCATTAAACAGTAGCTCACTTGAAGCCCGTTATCATGGGAATAACAACATTACTGATAGCTGTGGACCGCGTGCGGGGAGAAAGAGGAGAAAGGGTGAGCCTAGGGACACACCAGTGCCTGTGTGATGCTGGCAGCCTTGACATAACGCTGCCCCCATCAATGGCATTCTCAAAAATAAGAAAAGAATCAAACAAACAAACAGCAAGTTCAGCCATAGTCAAGTCCCCCACAGCCCAGCGGGCCATCATGGCTCGAGGTACGAGTTGGACAGCAAGATTTCTGATCAGGCATCGGCTTTCCCCCAAGGCAATAGTGCTGGGCAGCCCCCAAGGACTCTGCAGGCGCTGGGAAAAAGGGAGCAAAATCCTACCCATCCCAAAGGGGTGGGAGACGGAGAGCGAGGCTGCTCCAGGGGCGCCCAGGCAGCGGTGGAACAAAACAAGAGAATATGCACAAGAAACCTTTTTGGAGAGGGCCGTCCAGCCGAGCAAAGCACAGGCTCCTGTGAAGAAGGGAGCGTGCAAGTACAAGGCATAGGTGACATGGTGGGTTTTCCTCAAAAATACATAAATAACTTGGTAGGCCTGGCCCTGTGTGCTGCTGCGCATCAGTCACCAGGGCAGCTGGTGGCCCCACTCCCACTGCCCAGCTGAAGGGCCATCCCTTGGAGCACACGCTCCCGTTGCAGGGGACTGAGCTTAGTCACCGGCGCTGGCTCAGGGGCCAAGCGTAGGCTGGGAAGCGTCTTGTGTTTGCTTTTAAAAGCGATTACCAAGATTAGGTCCATAAAAGCATAAAGTAGCTCGTAGATGCCCAAAATAGGTTTATCAGTGTTATCTGCTCCTTGGGCTACTGACTGCATGGACTGCTCTGCTGCCTGCTCTCCTCATGACCCATTTCCCTGCAATTAAGGCCAGGGTTTGCGCTCGCAAGGCCGATTGTCCCGGGCTGGAGCACCTTGGCTCCAGCTCGCACCTCGTTGGGACACGCACAGTGCAGGCGCCACAAGGGGAGCAAGGGGTGTTTTGCTCCTTGTTTAGGACGTGGCTTGCCCGAAAAGCCCACTGAAGGGAGATCCTTTGGTGAAACGCCTCAGGTGTATCATCCGGAGGTGGGCAGTAGTGTGTAACAGAGCGACTCGGAGCGCAGGTGATACTCAGGGCACAGCTTTTGTCCTGGCTTTTCAGCAGCTATAAGGAATTACCCACTGTCATAATTCTGTTATCCCAGTGGTAACTACCCACCATATAAGTGAGCTACCATCCCAAGACACTTTTCCTGCCCTCAAACCTAAATGGATATTGGGCCATGTACAATTTTTGGTGACACCCTGAGCAGAGAACTGAGCTTACCAGATCTCAAACACAAGAGCAGACAGGAAAAGGATTTGGAGACCTGCAGCTTGTCCAGGCAGCATAATTACATCCAGACATAGCCTGTATTTCTTACTAAAGGCTTAAGTTAAGATACATATGTGCATTTTAAAGAGCACTCTCCTCGCTGGTGGCTGAAACGCACAGGATTTAGGCAGCAGCTGGCAGGACCTTGGAGCTACTTACCTGGCAGTGGGTCCAGGGAGGCTTCCCAGCACTGTCCCATGTTGCTCCTGGCTGCCCTCCAAGTCCCATCCTGCTTCTGCCCGCTCTGTGAGGGGCCCGGTGCAAAGCTTGGCACCCCTTGGGCCAGCTAAACTAACACACGCTGCGGCTCCTGGGCTGCGCTCTGCCGCCTAGGCCCGCTGAGGCGACCTCGCGACACCGGCCCTTGTGGAAACCGCCTCCCACAGCTGCCATTCCCCTGCATGACACCAAGGGGACAGAGGGACCAGCAGAGCTGGGAGCAACTGCAGCAAGTGTGGAGGTCGCTCTCATAGCCCTGATCAGGCACCAACGGGGCCCAGGTGGGCGCTCGTGGCAGGAGCTGCCACAGCTGTGGCGCTGCCTCAGCTGCCGCCTCTGAGGCGCCGCTTGCGCCTCTGCCTGGCTCTGCCCCGCGGCAGCGGAGCCGGTGGCCCTGCCTCTCTCCCAACAATCTCCTGCTGGAGCCGTTTGCCGGGAATTGGCCCCATTTGCTGGTGTGACCTGCCGGGGGATGGCGGCGCAGGCCCCCCTCACCGCCAGCAGCCTCTGATTCCGCCTGGCTTTCTTCAGTGCCCGCTGATGGCCCTGGAAGGTGCCATGGGGGCAAGAGCGACATGGGGATTGCGACTCAGTACTGCGGGACAGCAAGGATTAACAGTCGGGGAGGGGGCGGGGGGGGAAGGAGAAAACCCTCTCCAGTAAATGCATAAAGTTACTTTATTTTCAGTATACATTTAATTTTGAAAAATATAAATGCTAAAATATCTCATCATCTTCATCTTTTGATTCCATAAAAGTCACAATAGAAAGCTTCATAAAACTGTAAAATACTATAATGTTATAAGGAATTTCGTGTTTTATATTACTGGAAAAAATCATTTTAATACATTGAAATGTTTTCTGCTTTTTTTTTCTGTTTTGTTCCACCATCTTGATCCACTTCATTTTATACCAAGTTTTTATTCTTTCCTCCAAAGCAAATACAGACTTAAGAGAATTAAAAATAACAATAAAAGTATCTGAAAGTGCGTGTTGATTCAAAAAAAAAAACCCCAACAAAAAACAAACCCACAGAAATAAAGTCACGAGTACAAGTAGGTATCGGCCACGATGATAAGCAAGCATGGGCTACGGAGGCTCCCTGCTTCGCAGGTCGGGACACAGCATTTTCCAACAAAAGCCCCAACTCTGAGACAAAGTAAGTTTTTATGTCATTGTCACATGGCCTAATAAGTGCAATAAAACCTCCCTGGGTGGTGGCTTCTTGGTGGTGACTTTGTCCCATCCCTTGTACAAGGTTCCATCAGTGCCCAAGCTCAGGCCATTAAAAAAATCAGAAAAAAAAAAAAAAAGAGAGAAAGAACGAGATCAGCAGTCAACACATTTCAAGTACATTTTAACGTGGTTCGAAAGTGGAAGACCTCATTTTCGTGGATACTGATCACCAGGTGGTGGCAGATGGGGAGACGGGCCCTGACGTGCTCGTGCGGGACAGGCCGGCAGCAGTGGCTGCTTGTGCCTCTGTTCTCTGAGGAAGGACTTTTCTGGACTGATTTCCCTATATTGTAATTTTTTTCTTGCGGTGTTAAGCTTGGAGCTTTCTCGTTTGGATCGCTGGAAAGGAAGGGGATGGGCAGAACCTGATCTCACCCAGGTAGGCCGCACAGGGCACCGTTTCACCCCTGTTGCCGTTGGTGAAAAGCAAACGTAAGCAGGGGGGCCGCATGTGCAGCTGTGCGTGGGCACCAGGGCACCACCACCTTCAAGAGGTGACAGCCATTTGCTCAAGATCAAGCTGCAACTGCCGTGCTCCAAACCAACCCCTCTGGCAAGCGAAATGCTTCCCGTGGCAGCAGGAAGAAGCCCCCTGCTCCACACTCCTGGCTGTTGGGGTGGTGGCTCACGGTGAGGAGATGCTAGAATTTGGTGTGTCGGGTCTCAGCACCATCACAAAATCCTGCTGCTTCCATGCAAAATGGACTTTGGTCTCTTCAGGGCGGGTGCGAAGGCGGCGCCGCGCCGCCAGGAAGGAAGCCACGCGGCTCCGGCGGCGCCTTGGTGGGCTATGGAGGCCTACGCGCAACAAGGGCCACACCAGCGTGACGGGTCAGCTGGGGCTGAGGGACTAGGCTATCCGGGGCACAGCGGGGCGGTGAAGATCCAGGGCCGGTTCCGCGCATGGCGGCAGATGTAGGACAGCACGGATCCGGGAGGATGACGCGGAGCGTCCACCTCGACGGCTAACAGGGGCTTGGGGAACAGCTTCCCCGTGTGCAATCCCATGGTATCTTTTCCTTAAGTGCTTTGCCATCGTGCCCAAACTGCACAGAGGGTGCGGGGACCGCTACACGCACCTGTACGGGACACAATTCCCGCCATCCCGCACAGGATCTCACCGGAATGGATGCAACCAGCACCTGTGCCCGGACATCGCTAAGCGCTCCTGTCCTGTCTCCTTCAGAGTAAAGTTAGATTATTTTTTTTTAAACAATTAAAAAAACAGAAAAGGTAAAACAGATGCTTTAGAGTAGAAGGTGTTAATAATAAAACCAATCCAGCCCTATGCCTTATCCTGGAGATTGCGTGTTTTTCCTTTTGTAAAAATCACATTATATATGGTACAATACATTTTTACAGAAAGCCTGGCATCTAGAAATAAGAGGTAGAACTACTCAAAACTATACGTTTCCTGCTGCAGGAAAAATTCATTTTTTCTTTACAGTAATTAAAAAAAGGTTAAAAAAATTGACAAAAAAAAAGTTGTAGGTTAGGCCCCCATAATTTAAACAAAATAATCTAGGAAAATAACACTCTTCAATGTACCTGACAGATTAAGTCCATTAAAGTGTTCTTTTAAAAAAAATTGCATAGGAAAGGGACATTTCAAAACACATGCTACAACAATGGCAATAGTTTGTCTGTGCTGGGAGTGAAGTACCTTTTAGTTTTCCTTCTTGTGTTACTACAAGTACGGGCTTTAAGAGCAAGTTAGTGTTAGCAGCACTTTCCAGCATCTCAGAGCAGTGTAATAAAGACATTGAATTAGCCTGGAGGTCAGTTTGTTCTGCCAGACAAAAAAAAAAAACATACAAACAAACACTGATTCACAACTAAAGTCATGCCAGTTCCTCTGACATTTCACACAGGTATTATATTATATCCTTAATACTTCTTCCCTCTGCTTGAAAATGAGAGAGAGAGAGAGAGAGAGAGACGCGTGCATGTCTAAGTGACAGAGAAGGCAAACACAAGTCTTGGTCAGAGTGGAAAACCAGGGGCGAGGATGGATTAAAAAGAGATGTGCAAGGGCCACGGGTGGAGGGAGAAGTGCAGAACGTCTCATTTGCCTACGCAGGTGGGAAGCCGAGAGCGTTTCGTAATATTTGGCTAGCGACAAAAAAAAAAAAAAAAAAAAATCCACGTAAGATTTAACAGACAGACAAATTACAAAGTAGTTTCTGTTCCCTTGCTCCTCCAGAAATAACGGCCGTCTTCAGGCTCAAGTTCTATTCTAATTTGAGGCACAACTTTTACTGGAGTTCGTGGAGGGCTGTGTGGAAAAAAGGAGACAGAGGTCAATGCCTGGGCTGCCCCGGGGCTTCTTGCAGGTGCCCGGCGCGTTCGGAAACGCTCGGCTCATCCCGCCGCGCGCCTCGCCACCCAGTGCAGCTGCTGAGCGGCCATTCCCAAAGAAAACTACCATTCACGTAAGAATCATGGTATTATACACACATATTAATAAATATATTATATACATATACACATACAAGACAGTAGGAGTTGGCTTGCAAAGGGAAAACTGCTGATACAAGTGGATCATCCAGTGTGGTATCCAGAAAGGGCTCGGGGGCAGAAGCATTAATTTTTTCTTAACTGATTCATCCGTGATGATGAAATCATAATCCCAAAGCATGCATCTCTCATAAGGTCGTTCTAATGAGAGGAACCAAACGCTACCTACATCAAGGGGAAAAACCACTGATTTCACTGACATGGGACCTCCAAATACCTAGTTGTGCTTCACACCCCACTGTGATAAAACTCACAAGCTGCCCTTGAAATAATCTGAGTATTAGCCCTTAGTTTGACACCCCTTCTGATGCCTGGAGCTGTAGATATTTCTTCTACACCTAACGGCCTTTCCTCCCTCCGTGTTTTTTTTTTTTTTGAGGAATTGCTGTAGGCAGCAGCGTGCGGGTGCTCACCTTGGCATGGTGTGTGACTGAAGAAAAGGAATTTTTTCAGCATGACGTATGGCGTTCAAGGAATGTTGGTGATTTTTCTCCTGTTGGAGAGAAGAAAAGTCTCTTTGGTCACTGCACACATTTATGGCTTCTCAAGCACAGCCTCAGCACCACTCTCCACACATTTGGCAGTCCCTTTCTGGGCCGACTTCCTGCTATATGAACTTCACAGGTTGCAAGCAAAAATACTAAGATTTTAGACGTCTGCAGTAAGAAGCCTTGAGCTTCCAGTACCACCTAGACTCCTTTGCAGTGAGCAGCACTCAGAAGTGCACAACTATATCTGGGGATAAAGCACTATGAGCAATGGCTCATACCTGGCTGGCACCAGAGGGACATGAAAAACCATGAACATTCCCTTCGTATTTAGCCCACAAGCACGGGAAGGGCTGTCCCTGGAGCGTGGGAAGCCGCCAGCCATCCCAAAGCCCCAGCATTTCCACGCCCCGGGCAGCGCTCTGAGCTCGGGAATCCCTCGCTGGGGGTTTGGGTGCCCGACTGGGAGTCTGGAAACTCCCAAATTCCTTTCCAGGCAAACTACTTCCTATGTTGGCCTCATTTTGCCACCCTGAGAACCGCATCACTTACCTTTCCTCTACCTCTCTAGTTGCCCTGGGCTCCTCGCTGCAGCATCCTACCTCCCCGCAAGAAAGCAGAGGGTCTGTTTCCTATCTCCTTCCTTTCCTGAGCAGTAGCATTAATTTTTCCTTGATTGTTCCATCCTTAATAATATCAGTGCACCTGATCACGAAATCTCGCATAATGACCTTTAGGATGGAGTTTGTTTTTAGGGCATTTGCACAGTAGGAGGGTCTGTTTGCTTGCTCAAGGTGGACTGCACTTCATCTCTTGGCATTCATCAGCACAACACTGTGGTGTTCTGTATTCTCAGCAGAACATGGAGAATATATAGGGAGTCCAAGATCCAGCTCGTTCTTTTTGGCCTTGTTTTACAGTGGGAATCTCTAGGCATTCTTTTATGTATAACCACAGCACGACGTTTATGAGTGTCAAACAAACCTAAATGCTGCTGAAAACCAAGGCACTTGGTCGGGGGACTTGGGACCAACCCTTAATCACAAATGGCATTTTATGGATCTAAGGATGTACATTTTTAAGCCTTACTCCTAGCAGTGTCGTTGAGGGCATCATAGTGGTGCCATTTTAATGCTGTTGCTCATATTTCTCCCTTCCTATCTTCTGACAAAGCAGCACACTATATGTGCTTCAGGATTCAACCTGTTGCTCCTAGTATTTTAAGAAGTCCATGCAAATGCATGAAAGCTTCTCAGCTGCTTCTCCCAACTCCTTTCTTGACAGACAATAAGGACACAAAGTGAAAAGGGCTGAAAAGGAAGACTGCCATAATCAACTGTGGGTAGTAACACAAGGAAGTAAAAAGAAACAGAATAGCACAAAAGCAAATCACCTAAGAAGGGAAACATGTTAATGGGCAAATGATCCCTGCCTTGTAGACCAATGACACACTTAGTTATTCTTTTAAAGTGCTGATTTTTGCAATTGCCTGGAACCTAAGGAAACAAACAGGAAGGGACAGTGACGCAGTTCAGACATGCTGCAAATCCAGAACACGAGGGTGAGTGGGAAAAGCATCAAGCAATCGGCAGAATTAAAGCAAAAAAAAAAAAAAACCCAAACTTGGCAAAGGCCAGAAACTGAGTGCACTGAAGGTTACAGAGAGGAGAGGAGGAGCTGCCATGAGACCTGTTAACAGCTGCATAAAAGCACCAGAAGGAATAGGAAGAAGTAAGCTGGAGGCACCAGAGGGAATAACATAAGCTTTGTAAAGGACAAACTAAAAAAACACAAAACCAAAATCGACAGAGTCCTGCAAATTAAAAAAGAAAAAAATATATATTTTTTTAAATAGGCAAGGTTTAGAAAAAAAAATCATTCTCAATCTATGTATCTATGTAGCTATCTAGCTATATATTTTGGTATTGCAAGTCAGAGTCAAGCAGGCATGCAAGAGGTTAGTTCTACTCACTGTCGGCAGGTTTGCTATCACTTAGGAAAGGTTCCTGCTCCATGATGTCCATTGGTATTTTAATACTTGGGACTTTTTCTGAGTAGGGGCAGTCAGACTGTGAAAGAAACGTGTACAAGGTCTTAGAACATTTCCACCACTCTCTCCTACTGTCTCCCACCAGCATAATTATGCTTCAAAAAGCTTCTGTAGGCATGAGGAAGAAAAAGGATTAAAAAATAAAAATTAATTGTTCACCGTAGCTGTCTCCTGGTGTTCACTGGCTCCCCACTGCACCCACTCGCCCTCTTCCTCTACGCTCTGAGGATAAAACAGACCTGTGCCAGGGTTAGCTTCCCTCTCCCCACCTTGCCAACTCCTTGGCCACTGGTTTACAAGACACCGTCCAGTTTAGCTCAGAGTTGGCTGCAGAGAGCATCTGGGAAAACGCACCCTCCGGAAGAAATGAAAGGGGAATCTCACGGGAAAGGTTTATCCTGCTGTGATTTATTTCTGTAAAATAAGCTTTTTTTTTTTTTTTTTCAAATTGCTCCAAGAGGAAGAAGTTCATGCACAACACAGCAGAGCTTCCTTGAGCTGGACTTTCTCAGCTCTCCCTTTTATTTACGTGACGTCAAGTGATGTCAGTCTCAGTGACACCTCTATTTATACTTAAGCGCTTCATTGAATCCAGGAGCCCTTTAGGAACACAAACAGCTCCAGGCAGAAGGAGCAAATCCATCAGGACGGGCTGCAAGCGCAGAGAAATGCTGCCTGTTTCAACAAGTCTTCCTCCAGGAGAGCTTGCTGCCAAATTCAGCAAGGTTTCACCCAAATGCCCTGCATTTTGGGGCCTAGCACAGGGATGTCCTGTTTGCCCCAGTAACCCACCTGCTAGCACCTAGAAGGTGCTACCAGGAACAACTCTGCTACACTTTCAAATAAAATCAAGTTCCCATAACCACGGAAAGGCTGAGAATCCAGAACTTGGCAATGAAATTAAGGTGATATTGCCCAGAAATCTTTAAATGTGTCTTTGTCCTTGAACTAGTCCTAGCCCTGAGCACAACAGTGCACTGGAGGGGAAGATGTGAAAGTCTGGACGGGGAAACACTGCAGAGGCAATTTGCAGAAGGGGAGAAGAAGACTCTATTGCACATCACTGTGGGCTCTTAGCTAAATGTGCTAGCCCAGGATTTTTTAGCGAATTGGCTGGTCACTCCTTGAGAGAAAACCAAGGGCCTTGATTTGTCTTTCCACACAAGCTAAGGCTTTATATTCAGGAAATCTGGTAAAAGTGAGTGCTGAAAAGAAGACAAAAACAGTTAAAAATACCCAGGCACCAGGCTAGTGTCGTGTGTTATTATAAACAATAAAAGAAATTAGAATATTCTAAGCCACGTGGATCTGGTCAGGTCACTGCATTTAATAATGACATTAGCAGCTACGTTTCCCTATTTCAGTGTCCGATGCAACCTGAGTCAGAGCAAAGAGCAAAGCACGTCACAGAAGAGCATGGACTCTATGTGTTTAGGCCAGAGAACATGAAAGCAAGTCCCTCTCACAATGACAATTCGCACCTTTTTGTCCTTGTAAAAAGAGCATTTCACAAAAGTCAAAAGAGAAGAGAAAGTGCAATATTTTCAGAAGTAACGGAGTTGCTCATGAAAAATACTCTCCTAAAATGTAAAGACAATTATGGGGCAAGAAAGGAGGAGGAGGGAAAGATGAGTAAGACAGGGTGATGAAAAGCATTCTAGCAAAAAGCATGCCATGTCAGCAGTTCTCCCCTGTGCTTGTGAAAAGTGTGATTTCATTCTTGGCATTGCAAATACCACCTACCACAGGCTGGTGATGTCCGGCCAAAGGAAGGCAATGCTGAAAAGAAGTTTTGTTTGGGGACCATTTGCTGCAGCAGGTAAAGGCTGTCTGAGACTGCCGGTCTGATTCAAAGTGTGCTGGGAAAATTCCCCCCTCAGAGCTGGGGAGGAGCCCAGTGCAGCCACCCAGGATTAACCAGCTACACAGGAGTAATGTGACAAGAGCGGAAAGCTCCTTACATCATCGTTGTCGCTGTCCAGACTGCCTTTCTTCTTCTTCTTTTTCTTCTCATCCTCTTTCTTTTTCTTGTCCTTTTCTGGAATGACGTCATCAAGGAAGCTGAGGTCGTGCTGGGAGAAGAGGTAGTCCATGGCTTTTCTGACTGCTACAAGTGCCAGGATCTGCAAAGGCAGGGAGAGACTTCTCACTCGGTCACGTCTTACCTTTAATTGGGAACATTCTGCTCATTCATGTTGATATGGCTTCGTACTCCCAAACACTTTAATTCTGGCTGTAAATTAACTGGTACAGAACATGGTGAACACCTGGGTTACCTCCAGCAGCTTGAAAATCCAAGCTTGAGAAAGGAGTTAGGACCAAAGTGGCACGGTTTCACACGAGAAAAAACAGGAGTGATGGACAAGTAACATTACACAACTATCTACAACAGGAGTGATGGACAAGTAACATTACACAACTATCTACAACAGGAGTGATGGACAAGTAACATTACACAACTATCTACAACAGGAGTGATGGACAAGTAACATTACACAACTACCTACAAGTCCTTCGAGACAAAGGTAATCGTTAGCATCCAACTTACAGCCATCACGCAAAATAATAAATTGAAGAGACCCATGATGTGGGTTTCCCATTTATTTTGGGGGACTCAATCTATACACCTGGAGCTACAGGGGCGTCCTGAGTAATTTTCTTTACTATTTTCCTCACCCTTGCCCCAGATGTAAAAATTCTTTAGAAATTCAACAAAGGCCTAATGATGTGCTCTTAGATTTTGCACAATAAAGTATAATACTATTGCAGCTACATGAAACTAAAGAAAAGGCTTGCTTTATATTTTTTTTTCTATGCAAGACCTCAATTAAAGGACCTGTGAATTTCACAGTATAAATTATCTTTGTATTAATAGTACTTTCCTTACAAATAAGCAGAAGATTAGCTACCGGCCTGACCTTCGCAGCCAAATTGCAATTTTATAGTCTTTTCCTTCATGAGTGCAAATAATTGAAGTTTGGCCATCAGACCCAGTTACCTTCACTTTTCACTCACCCTTCACTCACCATTCACTCATTCTGCATCATTACAAGAGATACCAGTAGACTTCCTGCTACCTTAGGTACTGTGGTTTATGGGCAAGAAGAGAGAAAGTCTCTCTCTTCTGCCCATTCAGGTCTGAACAGCAGTACAACGTAATCATAAAAATGCAGTGGAATGGCATTTAAGTGGGAACTGCAGATTTTTTTTAACATCTGCATGTGTTCTAGCAAAAACACGTGGGATTTTCACTTGAATCAGCTTTACTCTAATTTCGCTGGCATCAGAGAACAAATGCTCATCTTTGTCTGGTTTTCTGCTTTCCCTTATTCTTCCTTAAATACAGTTTGTAACTGCACCCACAACTGAGAATGGATTCATTCCTAAATCTGAAGCAAGAGGGATTGGACCCAAATTTCTTGCAGGTATTTCATAAAGCTTAGATTTTGCACCGTGACTATGCACTATGATGCTTGTTATTCGAAAGAGTGAATGTACCTCACAGCTATACACAGAACACTCATATATGAAACACGAATTAACATCACTGTATGAATTCATGTTAAAGGGAAAAAAAAAGAGGTACATTTCTTTGTTCTTCACTTGGATAATCATTTTGTCCATTTGGTTCTCCTCTTACTGCAGGCCCTGAGTACGTGCGCAGCTCTACCATCTCACACTTGTTTTTGTCAGTGTTGTTTAAAAGCAAGGGAGACATTTTCTGTACAATGACCGGTGTGGACTAAAAAAGGAAAGCTATGAACCTCTCATTCATTTATGGAGCTCAAGGAGAAAACGGCAAATCTAACCTTGGCAGCCAGAAAGGGTCAAAGCTAACTTGACCTTCTTGGAAAAAAATTAACTTTCCAGGCTTGTTTTCCTCCAGAGGATCTCTGTAAAGGCAGCCACAGCAAACAAGAGGATGTGGAGGACATTTGCCTCATGTAATCTTGCGTCAGTGCAATGAACGGAGCACAGAGTCCCAGGCTAGGGGTTACTGCAGTGAGAGAATTTGATCTGCCAGCTTTTGGGAGAGCACGAGGGCGTGTGGAGGGCCCAGACCACAGAGGGGATGCAGGGCTGGAAAAGGTGAAGAAGAACATCACCTACCATGACAGGGAATATTATAGCAGCCACAGTTGACTTGAGAATCCAGAGGAGGGCCAAACACACCACCTGCAGGAACGTGAACAGATGGACCCTGCGCAGTGGGACGTGACGCAGATAGATAAAGTCAGGCTGATGTTTTAGAGGCATCAAGAGCAGCTTCAGACGATCCATGAACTGGGTAGAAAAGGAAAGACAGACAGGCATTTAAGTGAAAGCCCAAAAATGAGTGACAAACAAATTACCAGACCATGACAGGTGACCTTGAATGAACTTGCTTTCCCTCCATAAAGGAAACTCAGCAGAGAACTCAGCCCGACTCTCCTATCCTGAGTAACCTTTTCTTAATGCATAGTCGGCCAAACATTTTAACTCGGTTGTCTCGAGTTAAGCTCCTGCATCTACATTTGGCACCTAAACAGAGACACACTGGAGCCAAGCATCTTTCAAAGCGAGGCTTTCCAAGGCCTGTATTTTAAGCAGCAGGACTTTGTGTGCTCTGATGATCAGCATGTAAACTAGAAAACTAAGATGTCAGGGAAAATAGCTTTGTTGGCTTCAAAATATCTAGCTGGAACCTGCTGCAGCTGTGAATGTAGTGAATTTTCTGTCAAAGGAAGCACTTTGTTGCTCACAAAATAGAGCAAATAAGATGAACACCCAAAATACTGTCAGCATCAAGTCCTGGGTCACTGAAGTGAACCCACATATCTCTACCAAGAGGCACCAAGAGACATCAAAGCATTGCATTCTCCAAATCAGCTGTGAAGAGCAGCAAACAAAGGTGAGGGCAAACATCATGTTGACAAGAACAGAACTGCACCTAAGCAAAGAATGAGGGGGGCAGACAGCTTTTCAGGCAGCATCACTTGCCCTGGGCTGGATATGATGGACTTGGAGTGAAACCAAAATCAGGATTTCTCACTGAGTGAAAAAACATCCTTGATGGGTTGAAAACAAGCTGCACAGTTCCCTGACCACCTGGGCCAGGGAACACGGGAAATCCTCGCTGGGGAACCAACCCAAGGGTGACTAGTACAATCCCTCTGTTGTCTCTCGCCAGAACTTGGGCCTGCTGCCCACTTCTGACTGATCCCGAAACCAGATTAATCTCCAACCAGTGAATGAAGGCCAGGGCCATTTTAAAGAATACCCAAATAAATTCTCATGGTGCTCCCAGAACACAGAGTCTTTTCCTATTAGAACACAGCCGAGCACTGAAAAGAAAGGGCACGATTAACAGGGTGCCAGAAAGCAACAAAAACACTTCCAGCTTCCTTGCACCCACTAAAGAAACTGCCCTGTGAGAAAGGCTCCTTACGTAATATTTCCTTGGCCACAAAGAAAGGGGCTTGGCTTCCCTTTGGCTGCAAACAGTGGCGTTCCCGCTTGGTAACGTGGCAGAATCCTTCTGCCGCCATAAATCACATTATTTTCCTTCAGCTGGTGACAAACGGCTCCAAAGAGAGACCTAAGCCATGCCGGGAGCAAGCACAGGCTGCCCTCAGCGCCATGGCCAGTGAGCAGGGCATGCGGGGCACCTGCCGCCCATCAC